AGACCACGTTATTTGTCAACTGAGTGATTCTAATCACGTCCAGCATCCTGAAGATCTTGTAACTCGGGAAGGTTTCACGTATCAGAGCAGTAAGGTGAGATACCTCAATCCAGTTTTTTAACTGTTGGCACTGCACTACCACTTAAAAAACGAATCGCATAGATCATTTTACTATGATTTTCAACAGCTCGTGTGCGCCCTAAAAATAGTCTTAAAACTGGGAACTTTGATCTTATACTTTTTTGTTGTTTACTTGTTTTCTTTCTGTATTTGCTTCTATTCTTGTATGGCTGGCCTTTTTTCCCCTACCATTAGAACGACTCCTTTTAAATATCAGGCGGAGGTGGCATTTAAGAATATCTCCGTTCTTTCCGGAATTTTAACAATATGTTAGTTACACTTCTTTGCTTTCTCAACAGAACGTATGCTCAAGTAACTCATGTCTTTACAATAAGACCTGCTTAAACGGATATACGGAAAAGGGAGACCTCTGTCTGTGCAAATTTGGTTATACCGGGAAGAAGTGTAAAATAGGTAAATAAACTGGTAAATATGAATGCTAAATTACTCACTTTAAGGGTGGGCAAGATGAAGGAAATTTTAATACTCCGAAAGCATTATAAAGTTACCATTTACCTATGCTTTTATATATCTCAACGAAGACATCGGTGGTAGCTTACATCCCAAACGACAATTAGGGTGGTTTTCAGTTTCGTATAATAATTAAATGGGTCTTTTAGTTATCTAAAATCGTTCATATAAGCATCATTTTTTAATAGATATTCTTCACAGCAATCCATTCAGAAATAGCTTTCTGAGCCAGATGGCAAAATGCAGATGAGATTCTTATTTGCTTGAACAAGTTTTAAAAAGTGTTCAATTGTTATTAGGGTCGTCGGTGACCAGAAAGATTCTAATTTGTGTATGTCGTTCTCTTTTCCACAGGGACTAGCTGCAGTGATCTGCTTGACTCGTAAGTCGTACTCATCTGGCGAACTGATTTAGATTAACAGATAAATCAGGCTAAGAGATTTAACTTTTACAGGACATATCCCAAAGCTAATCGCTGATATCGAGTTATATCAATTACCGATTAAAGTGTCTAGCTATTCTCTCGAGAATACATTTTTTTAATAACTCGCACATTTCTCGAATATAGACAAACGATTATACGCCCCGATGATACATGTCTTGACCCTAGATTTCCTGCAAAGTGAACTCAAAAATAAGCTAAATTAATTTCAAGAGACCATTCTTGAAATGCGAATTGCACTTATTCCAGTCTCTAAAACCCATCTTCATTGTCTAGATTCTGAAGGTTACACAGCCGAATGTAAGACATATCATATCGAGAGGACTTTTGGAATGGTGCAAACCAAATTGATGTTACGTCGTAGACGAATTATTGATGTATCCAATTATACACAATTGGAGCAGTGG